TTCCTATTAAATTCTAGTGCATTTGGAATCACCTTTATTAGTATCAAATGCAATAATGTATTATACAGGTCTGGCAGAATATTACCCAATTTTAATCCTCTAATTTGTACTTCACAATGGTCATATAATTTTCGAAGTTCTGTCACATCGCAAGACTCTTTAACCAGAGTTAACAAATTATTCATGTTGGAATTTATTATTAGTTCCTTACGACCGAAGTGATCTTTCAATATTTTCACAGCCTTTTCGTAATTTTCTACTGTTAACGGTAACCCTTGTGTTGTAGTTTCTGCATCGGAAGTAAGAATTGACTTTTAATAATTAAATTTATCTACTGCATGTACACGTTCGTTTTCATGTACAGCTGTCTCAAATCGTGCTCAAAACCGGGCCAACTGCACACTTCTTTTCCCGAAAACGTTTCCAAGGCCAATTTTGGGAGTTTAATTTTGTTTTGCGATTTAGTGACAGTTCTACATGAAGTAGAACTAGGGCTATGTGGCTTAGCATCTAAATATCTTTTCGCGCGTAATTTCCAAACAATAATTTTACCTATATACTCTTCTCTAGAAATTATTACATCTTCTAAATCCTTTACATCAATTAAAGTTTCTATATTCTTATCCGAAAAAATCAGTTTTTCTTTACTAATTAAATGAGCTACTGTTTCTTCAACTGCACATTTAACCCCTTCATTAGTAATTTCTGTTTCTATCTTATTTATTAGTTTTGTAACTAATGTTCTTATAGCAAATCGTTTCTTTTTCAATTTTTCTAGATCGATTTTTGCTTAAGCAAGATCTTTTAAATTTCAATTCAAATTCAACGCAGTGGCCCCACGTTATGACGTCACAATTATTATTATTATTATTGTTATTTTCACTTCAAATAAATTAAGTAATCAAGGCAGAACAAAAGATGCTTACCTTGTTCTCAGCGGGTTGTTGTCAGGGCCACTGGTTGATGATTCTTTACCTTCCATCTATTTCTGCAAATATTTTGAGATTAATTAATCCAAATATGATCGATACATTCTTTACGACGCAATATATATATATATATATATATATTTACATATAAAAAGGTTTAGAATTTTGGCACGACTCAGCGAGCAACTTCTCCCTTCAGAGTTCTCGAGCGATCATATTTGAACCCGAAAGAAAACTTTTCGCGAACATGGAAAATAAAGAACTACTGCGTTTTAAGGCTACTGCTAAAGCAATTACGGAAGTGGACCTGCTGATGGTGCACTTTGCCTTCAAGTAATTTAGGAGAAAAAAAGACTACATGGCAGGAGATCATACTGAGGGACTCCAAGTGTTTGTACCTATGGTAAGAACGAATTTTCATAGATATTGACACCATTAACTTTTTATCAGCACATATAAATGACTATTTCCCATAATCACAACTTTATAACAAAGTGATAAAAAGATATAGAAGACTACATCTTATCCTCGAACTACTGCACAACCACTCTTGACATTTGGCCTCTTACTCGGAAGAAATATATGAAAAATCTTTATAGTAGTAAGTAGACCGCAGTCATAAGCAGAAATTCATTCTTTCTCACCTCAAAATGTATAACGAGAATAGAAATATTAAAACTTATTGTGCAGTAACAAAACATTTTCGGAATAGATGAAACCATAATGGCCCTGAAGCGACGATTATCAGTTCACGTCGTGGAAGCTTGTCTTTTCACCGATAACTAAATTCGTCATAATCAAGAATTTCTGACAACACTTAATTCGTCATAATCAAGAATTTCTTACAACTCTTGATTCGTCATAATAAAGAATTTCTGACAACTCTGTGTAGTCAGAAATTTCAGTTTTTCCACAGGTATTATGAACTATGGGAAAATGAGAATCTTCATTTTCAAATCCTTGTATAGATTTAACGAACGCATAAACTTTGGTGCATTTGCGACAAATCTAAGATATATGTTCTGGAAGGACTGATGTTTTTTTTCTATACGCCGGCTGCTAGGAAAGCATAAGTTACGATACGTCAGGCCCTAGTCCTGTAATTATAGCACTATTAAAGTTGTTATACAACCATCTAGTCTCATATAAAATAACATCATTAATAATCAGTGGCATAATTTGTAATATGTAATATGAAAACTACACGCTTGTAGCTAACGTAACGAGCCCGCTCGCCTTTTTGTTGCATTTCAGCTGCATATTATTTCCATCAAAGAAGTTATATAATTATACGTTTGAATAAAAATGATCATCACAAGGCATTCTAGCTTTAACCATCGTTATCCTCTTTCTTTTCTCTACATCACAATATTGAAATATTTTTATTAATTTCATAAAGATTATGGATTTTAAGATTTCTGTATTATGCAGATTTGGCAAGACTATTAAAATACGATAAAAGCAAACTCGCTGTATCATTCTCGTTACGATCATTTGACGTTCCTGCTCCAGAATGATCTGTAAAGTAAACTATTGCCCTACGTCATTAACACATAGCGCGTACGGCAAAATCGCGATCCACAAAGTTGACTTTCTATGTTTGATATGCTTTCTTTAATTATGTCAAAGCTAGATGCCTAAGAGCATGGATGCCTTCGTGGAGGACTTTCTAAGGGAGAAGTTGGTGGAAAACATGAAAACGGCAATGCAGCCTGCTCGTTTGCCGAGATTAGAACCCCGGACAAAATTGCCAGTGTTCAGCGAATGTACAGCTTGGCCGCTAGCGGGCAGTAACTTTCAATGAAAAAATCGGATTAGGTATAATTCTGATTAATAAAGTATGCAGAGTTTACATAAACCAAAATATTATAGTAATTAATCTAAAAAAATAAAGCAAATGTTAATTGAAAAGATTTCTATTACTGTTTAATTAGTAGGTATATGATACAATTATGTTTTAAAAAGCTGGTGATTTTTTTACTTGGGACAATGTCACTGATTTAAGCGTTTCCTGGCAAGAAGTGCAAAGTTTTTCGGTACCAATAATAAAGTAACATTTTCTTTCTTCATTTGTTTCAATCTCCATTACAAAATCCAACAATTCTTGTACCTTTTAACATTTTAACAATCGGTTGAGATTAACAATACTATATATACTTATAATTTTCATTTTTTAAAATTTCTCAATAGCTACTGTAGAATCGCATTTCTGCTCTCCAAGCGTAATGGCAAACTGCACATTCAGTTGATCAATGTTACACGAATTTCGCATACTGCGCATGCCCAGAGGAGAATTTGGCGTAATTATGACTTTGGTACAATTTTAAAAGAAGATAAATAAGGTATGGGGTTGATATTCTGTTATCTGGGCGGAAACAGTTCGGGATTTTAAAACTTGTTAGGTTGTAAGTTAATTTATTACTTAGAGGGTAACTTTTGACTTTAAACTACTCAAATTTTTGTTTAAGAATGATAACAAAACAGAAAACATCACAGGATATATTATCTGAATCTTTATTGAATATACTTGTGAGGAATAAAAGCAAATGCGTATGGTCAATAACTATATGTTCCATTTGTAAACTTTAACAAATTAAAAAATAAATCCAGTTTAAATTACTGAATTAAAGTCAAGGAAATTATTATAAATAACTGATATTATATATAACGTTTATGAACAAAATGAAATGAAAACAGAAGCAAATGCATTAAGCACAAATAAATATCGGTTGTATTGTAATTGTAAATAGTCGATAAGACCTACATGATGAACAGGCTTATGAAATGATTGCTTATGCTTAGTCGCCAGTATTTCCTGCCATGCCAACGGTACACCACTGAGCATGCGCAGTAAATGAAATTCTTTGACATTGATCAACTCAATGTGCGGTTTGCAATTACGCGTTCTCCAAGGCTTAAGTTGCATTTCTTTCCCATAGTTCAGTAAAAAGAGAATGAAATTAAATCGACATATAATATCATAGTTATGCTTTATAATATAGAAGCTAGCGTACTGAAAGCAACTGTTCCCGTTTTTAACTCCTAATATCGGATTTTATACAAATTTATAAATCGGAGAGTCGTTTCGATGCGGAAATTTTTCTCCTGTTAATTTTAAGCTGTTTCGAGATCAGTTTTCAATTTGAATCTATAAGGTATATAGAATAAAAAGCTAAAACTTTACATTAGAAAATAATAAGCTTTACCACGATTTTCAAAGCCCCTGAAAAGTCAAAGCATTTTTCTATATGCGTGAAGTAAAGTCATGCGAATAGAAATGTGAAAACATTTTAAACTCACGAAAAATTGTCTTTTCGATTGAGGTAAAATTGAACAAAGAAGCGGAAAACTGTGTGCAATTTTTTTTTTTTTGTCAAACAGTAGTCTTTAAGACAGTGTATCCTTGTTGAAAATAATAAATGGTATTTAATCATAATACTTTATTTATTACCTGTAACTTTCTCCCGCTTTAATAATTTTCTCACTTTAATCGTCCCCATGTGTAACGTGTATACGAGCCAGTTTCCCTTAGAAAGTCCTCCACGAAAGGCATCCCTCCCTTTAGGCAGATAGCCCTCGTGTGCTTTGCCATAATTAAATACACCAACACTTTAATCGTTTTTTTCCAATGTTCCTGAAAACCGATAGATGGAAGTTTTACTGCATGTCCTGTTTCAAGAGTTTCGTTAATTCGAAGGAATTACAATGTTAAGTTTGAAACTGCTTCACTTTTAAATGATTAATTAATTCAGACTGTGAGGCATTAAAAGATTACTAATTATATACCTTTCGGGCGATTGTACATCTGTATAATAATTCTAAGGTCTAATTATGAAAAGCTTAGGATGAAGGCAAAGCTAGCATTTAAACACTTCTTTAAATTGTTCCCATTACTCATTTCAAAAGTCCATAACAAGTTCCTTTAGAAAAATATAAAGGTTCCTCTAATTCCTTTATAAAATATAAATGTTATTATAATATTATGATAATATTAATATTTTGTTTGCTGAGAGAACTTTTAATAAAGAGTTCAGATGTGTGGAAATTATACCTATATTTTTTATTTTTAAGTCTTAGAAGGACTCTTTCTTAAGAAGATGACCTCTGTGAAGGAAATATCAAATTCTGAGAACTCAGCTGTAGAACAGGTAAGAAAATGATTGTGTTTCGCAATGATTTCAATACAGATCGAAAATTTAATAATTACTAAAATATATGTACCATTATTTTGTACCATAACATAAACACTGGATTCTACAGTAAGCTATCATACCACGCTCTCTTGATGACCCAAATAACGAAAGAAGTATGGAGTGATTACAAGGAATAAGTGAAATGCGAATTTGCTTTCGACAAATTATCAATATAAGGCAAACACTGAGAACAGCAGTACCTACTTTATCGGGTTTTTCTGTGTTATTTTTATGTGGACTTAAGATATACAGTTGAGAAATTACTAAACGTAGGACTACATATTTTCAACCTAAATTATCCTTTACTGATTTTCTGCGACTGTAGATAAGACTGTAGTTTGATGTCAATAGCAGTGACATACAATTCTAACTCCCCTTCATGCATTCACTTTTATCATTATGTTTAATTTCTGTAACGGCTGCAGTTATATAGTACTTACTGGCTATTTCTCACCCCCCCTCTTGAATATTTATCTTGAATTTTATAGCGTATCACTTATATCAGTGGTCTCAAACTGAAAGCCAGATGGCAACCACCGAAGCAATATTATAACAACCTATTTCATTTATGCATTTACTGCATAAAGAATACGGTTTTCGAAAAGTTTTAGTTACTTGAATTTATGCAATTGCGCCAAGGCTGTGGGGAGGGATGCCTTCGTGGAGGACTTTCTAAGGGAAACTGGCTCGTATACACGTTACGCATGTGGGACCACGAAAACACCCATGCAGACAGTCCGTTCGCGGGATTCGAACCACGGACCGAACTACCAGTGTTCAACGACTTTACCGCTCAGTGACGGGCCTTAGTTATTTGAAGTCCTAGTTTATATTATTTTCATTTCTTTTAAACACAACTGTGAATAACGCACCAGAAAATATATAAATACCGAAAATTAATTTGCAGTGTGATATGAATCTCATTCAAAAATTTGCCGATACAGATTTTAATATTTATTCGTATTTATTAAAAAAGGAATGAACTCATTTATTTTTTTTTGCACTAAAATTAATAGCTTTGTTTGCAAATAAATTTATACGCTTATTTTTTTCACATCTGGAAATTAATAAAAAAATTAACCGATGATCATCGACAATGCGTGATGAAGATAATTTTTAGTGTTTTTTCTCCGAGGCTACATGTTTTATCAGAATCGAAATGCCATCAAGTGTCAAGTTGCAGTAAGAAATAAAGAAGTTTATAATTATTATTTTAACACATGTATTTTTATTTATATATTGAAGAAAAACATAATGAGTAGGAATAAAACATTATCAGCATAAGGCATTATTCATTTATTATTATTTGTTCCCAAATTTTGTTCCACTTGGTAAATTTTCTGAAAATATAGGAAGTATTCATAATTTGTTTATTTTTAGTTTAAATTAAAAACAAGTTATTCAATGATTACTTAAACATATTAGACAGAGTTTTAATAAATGTCAATTTGAAAATTTAGTATATTTGAATAACAAAGTATAGCCAATAGAAATGTCTTGCAGGCAACAAAGTTTGAATTTCAGAAAGTAAGTAATAATAAATTTGAATACTTTTCATTTGAGATAGTAGTGTTATTTTTTATCTATGCTTTGATAAATATTTAATTAGCAAAATTTAAAATTTTTTTAAAACAGTTTTTAAGAAAATGTTTTATTTTGTTAAACAAAATTTGGCCAGTCGGTTATTTTATTTTTATGATCATGAATTCGCTGAGTTTTAGATTACTGATTTAAATCATCTATGTTGAAACCGCAACCTGCAGGATGCATGTGTCCCGGTGAGTTTATGTATACTGCCCGAAACGAAATTAATTTCAGTTCATGCAAAGAATGAGGTTCACCTGCACTGTAGTACAAAATTTTCAAAAGCCTGCTAAAATTTAGATTTACCTGACTTCTAAAGCTTTACTTTCGTAGCGCCAAAAGTACAATTGTCAAAATATTGAGCACTATTGAAGGTAAGATCTTGCATACATGAACATGTATGCACGCCTATCCCTCGAGGGCGAAGTGTTATTGTTATGCAGTTACGTAGATTCTTAGAAGGTTTGATTTTGGATTATTTTAAATTCAAGCATATGTTTGTAGAATATTACTATCAATAGTCTGCAGGTATATATTTAAAAACAAACGGAACATAGCTTATGAAAATAAAGATTAATAATAATAATTAAATAATTATTTCTTTTTTAAACGACAAGCAGGAAAAGATATATTTTTAAGTACTTTTGTATTAGAATAACCTCCTTAGTAGAAGTCGCCAAATTTTCAGAATGAGCTAAAGGCTAGCAACCATACGCACAAATATTCATCAACCAACCAGGTTCCTAATTATTCCTCAGTCAAGAAACTGCCATTTTCCGCATGAGTTCTTTTTGTTATATTCCAGGTTCAATGGTTTTTATACACAAACTGTGATATTTTTTGCCTCTGAATTTTAAATTAGCCTAGAAGTGTACCACTTTAGAGGTCGTTCGAGAGTGGGAGAGGCGATGCTAAGGAAAAGGGCAGTAAGGAGTGTTGCAACCACAGAATAATAATGAAATATGAAATAAATACATGATATATAAAAATGAAATGGCAGAACGAATGTAAAAATATAAAATGCGATTGTAGAATTTAACAGCAATGGAGGAAACTGCGGTATAATGTCTGCAGAAATACGGTATTGTGGCTCAAAATCGCCAAAGGAAACAATTGTTTTGAATCTGTTGTTAAAGCAATCTCCACTACATTTGTATCAGAGCAACTGAAATAAAAACAAGCTTGTAAGTAGATTTCTTTATTGATTTTCCAACAAATATCCATTTATAATACGAAATATATATGTAATAATATTTATGCGTGTAAAGGAGTAATTTTTTCCAACTGAATTCAAGGATAACAAGAGTCATTATGCTTTTACATCTGCACAAATTGCGCCAAATTGCGCTAATACGTAGCTACTTATTTTGTGATCAAACATTGTTCAAGAAGTGGTTTGCTTTGCAGTGAAAATGTGATATTAAAAATATAGCATGCCGCCCAATTCGTATGGTGGTCAGGGAAGCTGACTGCGATGCCGAAGAACCTGGGTTTGAATCTCGGAGAAGGCATGGTTGTAACTATCCGTCCCTTCATAGGAAAGGCGATGGTGGCCCACCCATTAGGTGCCTCCATAATAAACAGACCACCATATCCGGCCATTTAATTACATTAATGGACTGGGTTACATCTGTAATTGTTCACAATCTGCCATTGGAAAAAAAAATATAGCATTGAACTTCATTATGTTACACAAGTCATTTTGTCACACCCTTTCTCATGCCCTTTAATAACTGAAAAATTAACTCCTTTAAGATACCTTCTAAATCAAAAGCGGCAAAACATAATATCGGTGGTGATTTCACAAGTTAGAGTGACAATAATAGGGGTATATAAAGTTTAATAAAATGCTAAAGCAGATAATATTCAAATATCTCCAGAAAACAGTAGGATAATTTCAACTCATTTTGCTATCTTATCTAAACAATTTTATTGCAGATTTAAAGATTTAACAAAAGAATTGTGTGCTGCTGGTAGGAAACTCTTAAAATGTAGGAAAACATTAGTTTCTTACAAGCAGTATTAGGGTACTATTATGCAACGCTATTTGACAAATTTATCGAACTGATATATATGATACGAATTTGGAGCTATATGTTTTTTTTTAAAAAGAGGTATGCTGAATTTCAGATATTACTTCTTAAAAACGAAAGATTGTACAAAAATGTGCATTAGAATTTTTCACGTTTTTTTCAACAATAATATTTTTGTGAATCATTCTATTCTAATATGACATATGTAAAAAGCTTAGATAGAAATCAATTTACAGATTTCCGTCTTTATTCAGCAGAGCATGTATTAAATATAAAACTGATTTGCCCCAAACAGAAAAATATTTGTCACAATGTCAAAATTACATAACATTATTTAAACATACTATTGAATCCATTAAAGTTTACTTTTTATGTTTGTGTTATTAAACTTTGAGGTATTTTATGATAGAAAACTTTGAGGTATCTTATATTAGAAAACTATGAGGGTACTGCGGGCTGCGTAACTTAATTAAATTAAATGCTTGGCATCATCTTCCACTTCCATGGAGATAAAAATGTAACTGAAATTTCAATCGACAGTATATGGCGAATTGGGTATTTTAGCAAATTATTGCTATCTTAGTCATTAAAGTGGATGAGATGATAAAGGAACTATAATAAAATAGTGTTTGATAGAACTGTTGGAAAAGTAAATTATTTGTTTGAAATTTTAAAACAAAAACGGTGTGGAGGCAGAAAGTTAACACAGAAAACTCTGGAAGTCCAGTCTTTAGAATGCTTCATAAAGACGCCAGTATAAGAGGTATTTATGCACAGTGGGAATGGACACCCTCCCTTTTCTCTCAACAGCGCAAATGCAAGGATGGAATAATGCTTTCGTGAACTTGCCCTTTTCCGAAGGCCATCTCTTACCATAGAATACTATGCTCACTAGTGATACACCTTGTGCTATATCGGGTACACCCCCTACAGTACATTAGGTCATTACATGTGTTCGTTGTAGTGGAAGAGAATTAATTCTCTTAGAAAGGTAAATCAGTGGTCATCTTCATAACATAACAACTTTTATATTTAATAAGAACAAGTTACAAGGATCCACGCCAGTTCGAGCGGAACTGCACTGTAACTGAAATACAGATATGGTTTACACTTACATAAATATAGTTCCTTTACAGCTGAAGTAACAGTTTCAGCTAACACCTCATTATTCTCTCCCGCGCAAAAACTGTAGGTTCTTAAAGATCATACGTAGATGGTACTTTGCTTGATGATTCCGCTGAGCTAGTGGTTGAGGTTGTTCAACTATCGCTGGGAATATCCAGTGCTCTTGGAGAGCTGTCACTAGGAACAACTGGAAGAGAAAGTACGTCATACTGG